AATAAGTCCCCTGGGGTTATCTCTTTCTAGAATTCTGATTGGTTATCCTATATTGATGTTAGAAAGAGAATAGCAGTTGACTGCATTGTCGTTGTCTCTTTCTATTATGTATCCGGTTCTGTGACGTCATTGCTCAGTACAATAGAATTTTTAAACTAAAGGATGTTTCTTAAAGGTGGTTATGTTTATAGCTGAATCATTAATTTGTATAATTTAACCAAGTTTCTTGTATTTAATGATGGTTTTCAGTAAGACATATCTCTGGTGATCCTTACAAATTGATAGGATATTTAAACTGACCATTAAAGTTTCTCAGTTATGCATATAATCGCCTAAGAATGACATATAATTCAACATTTTACTCTATAAAACTGCTGTTAGTTGTTCATCGGAGTTTAAAAAACTTTTACTCATTTGTTATGGTGGTAGTCTTGAGTTTTATTGCCAACATAACCATGATTCTGCGAGTTTTTTTTTATTAAACTGTCAAATACCAAGCGGTCACCGGTGACCGCAACCTATTGTTCTATAATTGTGTCTGCAAAACCGGTACTCGACGAGTTAAATGCTGTGATGTTGAATAATTTATTATTCTACTGATACCTACATAAACTAAAAGAATTAGAAGATTTGACGTTTCGTGTACAATGCAATTAATATACTCTAATACATAGCTCTTTATACGTATGTTGACAATAGAACGCAGACTACTAAAAAAGGAGGTTTTAATGTGTGAGCACATTTTTGACCTAAACGATTTGAATAACTTTTTTGGATAACTTTAATCACGTATCTTGACTTGAGAGATTGCTCAGACCTGGACTTTGGTTAACAGATTCTGGTCTGCCAATCAATGTAGTTAAAGTTACAGATGTTTTATCTAACGAGCGCGGGTGCGCCATACTTGTGTGGGTAAATGTACATACACATTGTCTTTGTTTGCGTACGCTCAGGAACGCCCAGTTTCAGCCGGCCAATGAATGAGCTTGCTGCGAGTGACGCACACAAGGGCGTGTGTCTATGCGCACTACAACTATGGCTCACCTGCGCTTGTGAGATATAAGTACAGTAGTGGTTCGAGTCTTGATTTAATAATTTAGTTTGAAGAAATTACAGAGATATACAGAGAAAAATTGTACTTCCGCGTAGAAAATATATTTTGTCGTCTTAAAATCGTTTAAGTCAAAACGTGCTCACACCAAGTAGAGTCAATTATAAGCTGAAAGTTCAAAAGAGAATGTAATAAGGAAACACCAATGAAATGAAATCAAAATTTTACACTGCCACATTATAATCCTTATAAATTGAATTATTGTAGAATACTTGTGTTATTTAAATTTAGGCTAGAATAGTTATTCTATCGTCTTTTGTATTGTCGTTTGGTATGCGATTCTCTTTATGTATACCTTGGTTTTTGTAGAAGACAGATGTAGCTAATGAATTTTGTCCTATCTAGTTTTTGCTCTCACTAAAGGTCAATATTTAGACATTTGATTTCGTTTTTAAAGATATGACTGTGGTCTTCAAAAAAGAAGCATATATTGTTGAGAGTTAAATTTAATTTTAAAGTTGTCTTTTATGGAATTGATTTTAATTTTTAATCAATGTCCTGGGTAAAAATCTTAAGCGAGTTATTTATTGACGAACGGGACAGACTCTGAAACATTCAATGATTACTTATTAACCTTTGGTAACCTCTGGCATTTCGGAGCATAGATCTACGCTAGACACAATTGGATTTTCTATTGTGTGTCATATATCGACAGACAAGAGGTTAAATTATTTCTTGGGTTAAGTAACCATTGAATTACTCCAGTATGGTGGTCAAAGTAACTTTACCTAACTTAAAATCATCTATTTTGCAGCCAATCTATTGTAATAACTGTGTTCATAGCGTTAAAGTTAAATTTCACAAAAACATGGTTTATCTAAAGAGAATCGTAATTTTCTTTGTCATGAAGCTATGATTGATCCGTGATTTTGGTTAGAATGTGAGGCTTTGAATTGTGAAGGCAAAATGTGCCTTATTCAATTACAATATGTGTTCAAATATATTTAGGGAGGCGTTTGATTTGGTAATTTGGCCAAGTAGTCACTTTGATAAGGCACTAAATTTATACTACGACAAGCGATTTATATTCGCGTGACATTTGTCCTTGAAATCTTTAATAAACAATCTATCCGTCAGTATGAGTCGTCTGAAAATTGATGCAGTAGTTTTTGAGATCGCGTTCATATAAACATACGCGCTAAGAGATTTTATTTTGCAATATCGTCGTAGAGATTCAATGACACCAACATTATATTATGACGTGCTATTAATGGTGCGTCCACACTACTGTTAAAAATATTTACTAAACATCTAATCGTATTCAATCATTTTAGCGTATTAGATTTTTACTGATCTCCAACCCGCCGCAAGCGTGGTGATTAATGCTCGTACCTTCTCCATCTGAGGCCTTTGCTCAGCAGTGGCCACTTATAGGCTGTTAATGTGATGATGTATACTAATGCTTGTAAACTTTTAATAGTAGTGTGGCCCTACATTTACAAATTACAATCTCTTTACGCTTAGTAACTAAAAATCTTGCCAGGGTCCTACGCGACGCACGGGCGTTCAATACAAAAATCAATCATAGCTTCATGCGACCCTTTTAATCGGATCTTATGAAAACAATCACAATTTTGAAGGAATCACAATGTTTTTGGATTTTATCGCACCGATTGGTTGAACGTGTAACTCATGTGACTGTGATAGTTTTATTTATTTTTTTTTTCAATTTTTTCTCGTAATAGTTTTTAGTCTAGAAAATTGTCTGTTCTTTTTTTCTTTTCTTCAACAATGACTAAAGTTTTGCGTTTGTCTCTGGTCGATTTGATTGGTTTGAAGTAAATCTCCTTTGCCTTTAAAGTACAGTATAGTTATATTGCTCTTAGGTAACGCTTTCATTATTTTTTTTATCAAAATTACTTACTTTAGGACTTTAGAAATATGATAAATATGAAAATATGACATATTATGAAGAAGTAACATTATAGGCCATCAGCAAAGGCGCGGCACAAATACTGGACGTCGCGTTACGTCGTCAAGCATATTTGGCATACCATTTTCATTTGTATGCCATAGTAGTCAAGGTTCATTTTAATCTGATTCATTCTCAGTATCTCAGCGCCTCCGCTGGTGCGCCTGAGCGATAAAGGACAATTTGAGTTCTGATTAAGAATATTAGATATTTGTTAAATGGGTATTAAAGTTTTTTCACAAGGATCTGATGTTAAAATGATCTAATTAAAGCAATATATTGCATAATAATATTTATTAAATGTATCAAAATTTCAGTATTATAGTAAAATTTTAGTCATTGTACTCCTTATTGTGTTTGGTTTTACATTTATACCTTAATTAATGAATGTGAGGGAATATGACATGAATTATCTGCAGAATATTAAACTTTGGTGTTAAAAAAGTGTTTTTAACTATTATACAAATTTTTACAGTGATAATAAATGATATGATATTTTATAAATGGATTTAAGACGTTTTTTTACAGAATATAAACTCCAAATTAATTTTTCTTTAGCCAGGCAATGTCAACAGTATAGGCTAAGTTTGCGTTACTCTTCATTTTATTTTAAAATGTTGGTAGTGCCTGGTTGTTTGTACGAAATATTTCATACACACATTGCTGGTAATATTGTTCATATTTTCTATTATTTCTTGTATGTGTGAAGCAGTGATAGACGATTGATGTTATTCTTAGATCCACTACACTGTCGTGCAAAAAAATTGGTACCAAATGTTTATGCATTTTTTTTGTTGCTGATTTTGGCAAATCGAATACGTAGGTCGGTTTTTTGCACGCCAGTGTACTATTATCACCCAAAGATTGTTATGAATTTATACAAGAAATATTTATGTTGAATAACAAATAAAATTATCCAATGTATAATTTTTTATTCTTGTTTTTAAGACGATTTGATTGACTCCAAGTTTGGATCTTGCGATGTGCTGTAGATTTTGCTCTTTTTTCATTTCTAGTTAATTATAATTCCAACTATGTACAGTAATTTTCAATAGCAGCTTAATCCAAGGATGTACTCAAATGTGGTGTGAAACTCCATATTAAAACACTGAAAAAGTTCAACAAATGAATGTTTGTCGAAAATTGGTCAGATTAAATGTTTTTCTTTCAGAGCAGAATGTACAGCTCATCGTTTCCTATACTTGTGACGTCAGTGTTAGCGCTGGGCGGATCCATAGATTTGAAGTCATCAATCAAACAGCCCCGAAGCGTGCGTCCTCTAGAACTGAACATAGAACCTATCACGACGGGCCGGCTTTTCACCACGTAAATTGTATGAGAACATTCTAGATTTTTTTAGTTGACAGAATAAATGTCCCATTTTCTTTGGCTAGTAGTGTGACATTTTTTAATCTAATTTAGCTTTTATTCTTACTGTCATAAAGTTTCATTTGACATTTTCTTCTTTCTTCTAAGAAAATCAATGTGCACCAATGTTCTCATACAAGCTACGGCTAGACTAAAGGTATTGATTGATGACGGATAACTATAAGGCTTCGTTCACACTGTAACGCCGATGCCGTCGTGGTGCCTCCTCTATGCTCTGTTCTGTTGACGCTATAACCTGTATTTCTGTCGGTACCTTAATTTTATCGCGGTATAGTGTGGTATAAGCAGACGGAGGCATCACGGCGGTAAGTATGATGTTCTATGTTTATTGTGCTTTTATTGTGATGTCTTTTGTTTTTTATGGATGGATTGATTTTTGTATACCTTTGTAAGCTTAGAAATGAGCCTCTTGAACATTCTTTACGGTATTAGTATCCTATGGTTACTATTTTTCAACAGGTAGCCCGTAAACTAGCTTATCACTTTAAAAATCTATTAAAATGAAAAAATATGGTGTCTAATACACAAAACTCAATCCATCCACTACCCCCAATCTAGTAACGAAACTAAAAAAAAACTTTTCTGCAGTTTGCGGGGCCAAATACAAGACGCGGCCTGGTTTGACGTACCACTTCACTCACACGCACAAGGAGCCGGCGGGAGGGTCAGGCGGGGCTGGTGCCAGTGACGGGGACTCTAGAGACTCCAGGCCTGGGGCCCATACTCCCCCCGCCCACCAAGTGCCCCCCCTCCAACCCGCGACAGAGTACCAAGACAGCTACGTCACCTTCCTCAATAACCCTGCTGTGGGCACTGGTAAGTACTTCTAATTTTTTTAACCCGGGTCTGTTTGTTTCAAGAATTGGTTTGGAAGAAACACGATCTGCGGATTCGGTTAAGTTAAGGTGAACCGAGATGGAAAATATCAATGTATGAAGACAATTTATTTCATTTGTAATATCTAGTTCGTAATAATGTGATTGTTTGTCTTCTTCAGTGAGTTTTCTGTCTCTGTCCTGTACAGAATTACAGATCGATTTATACCTATTCAACCATAATAAGTTTACTATTTGGTTTGCGCAAACATGCGCAACGGTTCAACATTGCGCTAAGTAAGTTTGCGCGAGTACTAATTTTTTCTCGCAAATAACAATATATTGTTTAATTCCTAGTTTTACTAATGGTAAAATAAATTTTAAATTATTAAATTAATTAAAAAACAGAATGTAGCAATGAGTGATGCATGCACATTACTGGTAATTCGTGTGAGTTTACAAATGTTTATAATTTCATGCAACACAAGTGTCCTGAGGGCAGCGTAAGTGGTGTTCATCCATCATTATTTGACTACTTTATTATTCAAAAACAATTTTGTTTCATTAATAAATATTATCGCGATTGTGTAAAAATATATAGAATTTTTATTGCTGATTGTTGACGAACAAACATTGAAAATCAGGCGTATATAAGCTGAGATTTTGCAGCTTTATAATAAAATCTTTGTAATATCGACATAATTTGTGATATAATTGGAATTAAAAACCAACTACTCAAGTCCTACTGTTACGCAGAGGCGTGCACAGAGATTTGAAGTAGGGTAGGCAGAAGGTATCACATGATTAAAAAAAATTTGGTCTGCATTAATCTCGGAAAATAAAACTCCCGAAACTAGGTAATTAGGTTTAGTAAGTATTTTATTAATTTGTATAAACAAATTAGGTACATAATCATTTTCAAACTATCCGTGTATAAAGTTGATCAACATAGATACCTAGGTATCTATTTTACAAATCTATTATAACTATATAGGTACCTACTTTGGAGCGGCGAAGTACAAATGATTACACATCAAGCTATGCAACACCAGTATAAACTGACCGTTAAATGCATAGAAAAATCGTACAAAGCGAGATCAAGATGACTGGATTATAAAAACAATAATGAAATTGGTACACAACCAGTGCTAACAGACTATACCTATAATCGCAAATCGTAGTTTATTAAAAGAAATAATAAAATTATTACCTTTTTTGAGTTAAGCCTAGCCCGGACATACGACACACGCAAAATCGCCTTTGGAAATACTTTCGTTTCTTCTTCGAACGACAATAAGGAAAACGCACTCATATTGAATTTATTGAACAACACAAATCACCAGCACAGAGCTCACAGCAAAAATTTTACATAATTTTCGGTAAATTAACAGTTCATTTAAATTATAATTGATTACATTACATTTTATTCACTTGCACATAAAAACAACCAAAACAAAATGGCCAAAAAAAACGTAAACAATAAGTTGACCAAAATTAATAGTAACTATTTTCAATCAAAAAACGCAACGTTTTGTTGACTTCTTAAATTAGTCGGATAACGAAGAAGCAGTGCTTTTGCAGTTGTATAGAAATTACCAACCTAACAAAAAAAAAATCCAACATCAGCACGAGAAAACAAGCAAATTGTACCGGCTACGCATTAGTACATGCTTCCGCCACCATCACACAATAGCGAGGTGGCGGCGCCACTGGCGCAATGCTCCAATATCGAAGAAAGTAGAAAGTGGTCGTAGTACCTCAATATTTTTTCGATAGATGGCGTTAGTTACCAGTTTTCCAAATTAAGTATCAATAAAATTACGAAATCTCTGTATGATGTTAGTGAATATTCATGTCGTGTTTATGAGTGACACTATGTATTTGACTATGTAGGTTTACCATGATTTTGTAGGGTATGCAGTGCTTATTTGCATGTATGGTGTGCACGCCACTGCTGTTACGTCTAAGTGCATATAATAATAAAACTTCTTGTGATAACGTAACGCAAGTCTGACAAACCTAGTACCAAATAAAACATTGTTATAATACCACTATGTTAGGGCTTGTTCGAACCAAATATGAATCTTATTCCTAATTATTATGATTCCTAAAAGTACCTACACTCTCATGATGTATTGAGAGATGAAGTTGCAAAAAAGAAAAGTATTTATAGGTTTAGTTACTGAACTTAGTCTAAAAAGTTTAGTAGACCGGGCGAACCATCAACTCTATGAAACTCCAACAAAAATCCCGGTTGTTGTAATTTGATCTTTTTCTAGTGGCACGATTTGTCTACATTTATATGGCTACAGTAAGCCAAGGTTTAGTAAAAGACATATTCTCAGATATTGTTTAGGCCTAAAGCTTATAGAAATATCCGCCGTTCATAATAATTATTATCTTTAGCAGCCAGCCAGCAGGAGACGCCTGCTCGGCGCCCGACCCCACCACCAGAGGGTTAGAAACAAAAATATTTTTACGCTAAACAACTTTTCAGTTGCGGCCTATTTTATTTTAATTCCTTCCATTGCGTTGACGTGTACGTGTTATATTTTTTTAGCTCTAGTTTTCCTGAAGACAAACATTGCTGCATTATTTGCATTCTCCAATCTTATTATTGACGAATGTTTTGTTATCGTTTTTATTTCCATGCTTGTATGTAGTCGAAGGTCAACATACATTGGTCAAGCAATTTTAATGATATTTTCTTCTCTAGCGGGTGTCCCAACGCCACCAGTACGCCGTGCGTCTCCTCCGCCTCGACCAGCGTCAGCTGACACTTCAAGTTCGGACTCAGCGCATGTTCCACTGTCTGCGGCCCTGCATAGTGCTACACCAGCATCAGCACCTTCGGCATCTGCTGCATCAGAGGCTAAGGAGTCCGGAGAGGGTAAAAAGGATGTAAGTAGAGTTAGGTTGTGATATAATTTTAATTAGTGCAATTTTAAGTGAGGAAACTCTTAATAGTACAATAGTTATTGAGACGAGGCCAAAAAGTGTATACCTAAAATGCTACTATTAGTACATTGTGTAAGGTAGATGCTTCTTTTTTTAAATGAAACTAAAAAAAAATTAAATAATTTTCTAAATTACCCAAAAATCGTGGGTTATTTTACGTTAAAATACTGAGAAAAGCTCTACAAGTTTCGACCTCCAGTGGGGTTCTTCCCGCTCGCGATTTTTAGTCTCACGATAGTTATTATAAAAACAAATATTTTCTACTCAATAATCCGTTTCCTATAAGCTTCATCCCTTTGTTCGCAGGTGACACCATCACCATACTGCGACTTCTGTCTCGGTGACGATAATGAAAACAAGAAGACGGGCACTCCTGAAAAGTTAGTCAGCTGCGCCGACTGCGGCAGATCAGGTAAGAGGCGCGGCCGACCTCCGCGCAACGGTCTCCCAAAACCTTCGTGCTATCATCTTGAAAACCGCGTCTGTGAACGTCATCGGTACCTTCGAGACAGTATCAAGCTCAATGGCGTAGTAGAAATACATAGTTCCATGTCCTACTCAGCGGATGATTTTGACAACTTCGCTACCCAAACTAAACTTCTCCATGACGACTACGGTCAGTACCCTGTCTCTCCCCCTTCCCGTCAAAGCCCAACCTACGAATGTGATCTCTACGTCACCGGTTCGAATAATATCTAAAACTCTAGTATTATTTGTGTGTTTGTCTGTAAAAAGTTCACTGTCAGTGCTCTTTTTGTCGGTCCTACCAAAGAGAATGTTTGATTTGATGGCTAGTTTTAATTATTACATTCCACGTCTCATACTCTTTTTCGAATGAAAAGACCTTTGATGCATATTTTAGTAGTTATAATCGTGTTAGAATAGTGACATCACAATATAAATGTCAAAATCTTTGTCTAATGTAAACATTTATAAATCATATCCGAACATAATTAATGATGATATCCATATGATAATTCTATGTCACATATCATTGTGAATTTTTAATCTGTGTGTCAGTGTTGCACTATGTGATCTTGGTGTTGCCATTTTAATAAAACAACACTTGTGACGATGGATGCCAAATGATGAGATATTTTAAATTGTTGTCTGTTGTAATGTTTATACCTTAATCGTTTTTTATTATTTTTAGTGAGTACAAGTGCCTTATCAAAATTACATGATTTCGTATGTGATCACGCTAGACCGTAGTGTTGCCAGTCGCGTTGTTTTATATTATTAATATGTTTTTTAAAGAACATTCAAAGCTTATCTATGGGTATTTTTTTATATTTTGAATAGTACTTTTAGTAACTACACAATATATATTACTCCAATAAAGAGCAGTAACACAACACAGTCGTTACCTGGCAACACTAAGGACAGTATAATTTAGTCATAGCTTCGCTTGATGCCAAATAATGTTGCCACTCAGAGGTCCATCTGTAGTGGCAAAAATCGTTCAGATGTCCTAGCTTTCTAGTCACGCTGCAACATAGTCACCGCACGCGACACTCCGTGCCCAATATATCTTGAAATGTGACGTCACATACGTCAGTTTGACATCTAATGTCATGTGTCAAAATAGAGTATAGTTTTCATATTAGCCGAGTTGACCTCTAGGCTTTTGAGTCTCAGTCATACAGTTCAGGATAATATTGGTTACAGAAATATAGTTACCCGACTACGCAAGTATACTTAGCAATAATGTTTTTATGAAAGCATTTTAAACTCTACACCTCATTATTCATATAAAACCTGAATAGTTTTGTTTCTATCAGGAGGTGGATGTATTCCGTTATGAAACTTATTAAATGCATGTTTTTACGTAGACATATCTATGTATTAACCCTAGAGTGGGCGCGCTATGAGCATTGGGTCGCCCGAGCTAAAAAAACGTAGATAACTTTTAAAACAATTGCCCGATAGTCTTGCACTTTTTTATCCTTGCTTCTAGTCTCGTTAGCAATGCGTGCCGAAAGATTTGACACTAAGTGCGATAGGGACCGGTTAAGAAGATGGTTGTTACCAGGGTTTCGCAGGGCGGCAAAATGCTTACGCGTGGTAAGCTTTTTTTTAATCACCCACAGACGTTTCGCAAAAAGGGGCGCCCACTCTAGGGCTAAGATTGCCAACAAACTGTTTTAAGGTCATATTTAAACTAAGACATTGTTATTAGTCAAAAGTGGGTTTTAATACTAAATTTAGTGACTATTCTAAAGCGTAGGCGGGTTATAAACAATAGCTTATTATAAATATTACATAGGAGCTTTTACGTGCCTTTTTGAACACCCATTTTTTTTATCGTAACCCAAAGATTTTGAAAGTAATTTTAGTTTAAAAGAAGACTAACTTCATGTTGTTAATGTGTTTTAGCCTTACCTTACGTCATCGTTGACACTTTTTCAAATTTAGAATTTTTAAGCGGCCAGATTTATATGGCTTCCCTTTTTAAAATTTTCTCAGACCATAAAGTTAATTGATTGAAGTATCTGCTTTTATTTATTTTCTTAATACACTAAAGTATGGCATTGATGATAAAATATCATTCCTATAGCTATAGACATGTTTTTGTTTTAGTTTTAAGTAAAGTTTTAATCGAAATTAGGTTTTAAATTTTATTATATGCGTAGATTTATTATTATTATTATTATATATTATAATGATATATTGACAATTTATTCTTCATAGTATATTTCTATAGTAGTTATCAAATTATTACTTTAAAGTTTTTTAGTTAGTTATTGTGGAGATCGTTTTAATAGCGTTTTTTACTGTTTTAGATCTTTTATTCCTAAATTTTGGTACACAATGGTGTTTATTGGCCATTTTATTAAAAATTGACCACAAAACAATCATCATGATTATCATATCAACAATAAGAAGTCCTCTACTGAATATAAATCTCTTCCTAAGACTTTAAAATTAACCAATAAAGAAAAAACCTTGTTAATAAATTGTCTAATATAATAGAGGTAATTAATTGAGTTTCGAGTAATATAACTATTTCAAGATTCGACCAATAATGATACACTGTATATTCGTCGAGTCAGATTCGTAGCAATAAAATTCCTAAACTAACCTTAAGTAATTTGTTATTGTTTTAAAATAATAACATAGAACCCGATTACTAACAAAAAAATTATGAAATTTATCAACACCAGGCTTTAAAACCATCTTTACTTTATTAGACTTAAAGTCTATTTTTAAATACGTGGTTACGATATATCAGTATCGACTCCTTTTCGCGACAAATCCGTCTTTATTTCACTGCCTTAAAGTCTATATTCGAATACATAGTCAGTAACACCATTGTGTACATAATTGGCTTGATATATTGGTACCTATGTACTTAAAAATTGGTGCCGCTTCATGTAAAGCCTTTTTACATGAAACGGCTTTGAAGAAGGGACATAGTATAAGTTACCGTCTTATAAATAAATTATATAATTATATATTATCGTGTCACGTCTATTAGGTGCCTTAGTCTGTGCAATTGTAACCGTTTAGAGTTTGTATTTATTATTGTGTCTATGTCGAATTGTCGAGTTTATACAGGGTGGTGTTTTGAACGATTTTTTTTTTATTTTAAATTCTATAAATTGTTTGAGTTACCTTTTGGTATTACATGTCAAGATATGTTTTTTTTTTGTATAAAGGTGTTGGATTTATTCCATGAAATTGTATGTTTACCTATATTTTTTATTTACACGAAAGTAATATATCATTTATTCAGTATAGTATGCCTTGAACAAAATATTCCTTAATGAGTTTGCATTAATGAGACATTCGTATTCAAAACACCCTGTATAATAAAGAAAAAAACAATGCTGTGTCTGACCATGTCTTCAATATTTATATTAAACTTTAAAACAAGATTATAATCGATATAGTCGAAATATGTAGGTACATGTTTAGCAAGTTTTTATTAAAAAATAATAGTTGTTATAATAATCATTATAGAAACACATTATTATTATTATTATTTATTATGTCAAGTTTATGTGGGAATTTTATGTGAGTGTTTAGTGACTGTTAATGAGTCCTTTAGTTATTCTGGTACTTAAAAGTACCTCCTTCAGTGTTTATTATTATAAATGTTTATAATAGTACCAAAATGTTAATTCTCTCATATTATTTTTCTATCTCGGCAATATATTACATTATTTTTAATGCCTGTAGGGAAGTGCATAAATGCGAATACCCAAAGATTTAAACTAAAAAAAAAAACAATCTTTCCGTTATGTTGTTTCGTATTTTTTTATTATTATTTTTAGCGTAAGACCGAGAGTTATATAAAAAAAATTCATTGTTTTTTCTGATTATTTTTATTTTTTTTTGTAATACATTGCTCTATTTTATTCAGAATTAAATTGTATGACGATTCTAAGTCGATTTTTTATTTAGTATTTGCTTGTGCTGAAGAATAGTGAATGTGCACTTCCCTTTAGACATTGTTTTTTTTCTATTTTTTTTTTACTTTCTTCGAAATAAAATTGTAATTTTTTGACATTTAATGGTTACTAAGTGTGTTTTTACTTTATTTTTCACTATTGTTCGGCACATTATGTTTTCCCCTTATCTTAAATTATTTGGAAATAGTCAGTTTTGATATATTTGACATTGTGATCGAGATCGAAGATTTTATAAGGTAAGAAAAATATTATGTGCCTTACAATATGTGAATATTTTTCGAGCTCTTTATTTTTGTACGTGGTCATTCTGATTTCTGTGTAACAAATAACATATTATAAAGAAAAAGAAAACCGGTTCCAAATTTGTTATGAAGTCAAAATTAAATACAAAAAAGGACCGAACCAATTGGTTAAATATTATTCTCCAACAAAAATCATTTACTTATAAAAAAATACTAATAGATAGTAGATGGTACTTGAAATAAAGGGCTCCTAAAACGCAGCACTTATAGAACATTACACTTATAATAACCAAATTGTAACCAAATGAAACTCGTGCGCAGCTCACCCGATGTGCCTGCAGTTCACTCCGAACATGATCGTGTCGGTGTTCAAGTACAGCTGGCAGTGCATCGAGTGCAAGTGCTGCTCCGTATGTGGGACCAGTGATAATGATGTAAGTTGCGAACACTTATTATATTGTATGCCATTCTCACGTAACTGCTCTATAAGTTTCAAACTACGCCGGAGATTCATATTCATGTATATTATATTATTTTTAACATAACATCACTTCTTTTATCCCAGAAGGGTTAGGCACATTATGCCACTATACAATGTGACACCCACCCTTCACTATTTATGTTATGAGTCCCATGGTATGTACATAGGGGGTAAACCTATTGCCATATACCAGGCACAATTTCAGACTCCGTGCTACTACTGAGAATTTTAAAAAAATCTAGTAATACTTTGCCCGACCCGGGAATCGAACCTGAAACCCCTTGCCCGGCAGTCGCACTTGCGACCACTCGGCCAAAGAGGTAGTCATTTTTATTAATTAAAATATTTATTAAATAAAAATAATATGGCTGTATTATTTTTTACTAGCGACCCGCCCCGGCTTCGCACGGGTGCAATATGCATGTATTATACATACAAACCTTCCTTAAGAATCACTCTATCTATTAAAAAAAACCGCATCAAAATCCGTTGCGTAGTTTTAAAGATCTAAGCATACATACGGACATACAGCGAAAGCGACTTTGTTTTATACTATGTATTGATGCTGTAAGCCGATAAACGATCAGACGGATCACCTGATAGTAAGCAATAGACGACGCCCACGGACACCTGTGCAGCTGTAATACCTCTCAGAGGTATTACAAGTACACACTGTGCTTGTAACTCCTGGGATTGATGTAAATTTTGACATTTGACAATGTCATCCCCATACATTTAGTTTTCTACTCTCTCGGTAGACAAGCGCTGAAGTGGCGTTTGGCTAAAGGCACTGGAACACTAGATGTATTACAACTGCAGTGCGTCACCGACCTTTTTCGATAAATGGACTATCCAACACAAAAATAATTTAATCGGACCAGTAGTTCCCGAGATTAGCGCGTTCAAACAAACTTTTCAGCTTTATATGTTCTTATTTATCCAGGACCAGTTGCTTTTCTGCGACGACTGCGACCGTGGATACCACATGTACTGTTTGGCGCCGCCGCTGGAGACTCCGCCCGAGGGTTCCTGGTCCTGCGCGCTCTGCATCAAGGAGTTCCACACCAAGTAGTCACACTCAGGTCACTAAACTACCTTCTAAATGCTTCTAGAAATATACTGTGGACATTCCTTTAATATTTTTTTTTTTGTTAAGGCTAAGTGCTACTGTGATCGGTAGTCTTTTTAATAGGAAAACATCTATTGGGTAAAAAGAAATAGAATGAATGATTGGGTATCTAAGAGATAAAGCCTATAAGTAAATATTTTCTGGTCATTTTGTAGTCATAAAAAGGTAAATAATTATACTCTTGTTGTTTAACGCGATCCTCACAACTATCTTGGTTGGTCTGTTAGACCTTATAGCCAAAACATTTGAATCGAATTTAGACAGATAGCCATTATTTTATAGAGATCGTGTTTAAATCGTGTACAAATCCTAATAGCGGGCGAAATCACATCCAACCATTTGTATTACTTCTTTATGAGATGAGCCGGTAAACGATCAGACGGATCACCTGATGGTAAGTAATCGGAGTCGCCCATGGACACTCGAAACACCAGAAGCGTTACAAGTCCGCTACCGGCCTTTTGAGGATAAGGGATTTGAGGATTGTTGGGGATTCAGAAATTGGGGAGGTGGGAGCAAATAGGCGTAACGACGAAACAATGCAAGCGTGCTTACTCATTTATTATTATTAAGTTACTTTGTACTTAAAATATCAATAAATAAAACTCATTTTTCTTTAATTTCCAGGTTATGAACAGAAGGGCCGTGAGAGAAATAGCTAGGTAGGCGAGATAACGAATTATAGCGGCAGTAAGTTATAGGGTACAAGCGAGTGATCAGGTAGTGTTGCTATATGCTATAAGTGGGACTTAAACAGTGTTGCCATAGTCTAGTGAGATACTGCGCGCGAAACGACGGTACCAAATTGTTTCAAATATTTTTTTGAACATCATGTGTAAGAGCTTTTTATTTATTCGTGTAAGACGATTATCGACCTAGTTTAAAGTTTTATACAGTCTACATTAGAATGCAGGTACAAAAATAAATATTGACTCTGTACATAGACAGTAGCTTTTATTATACCAATTACCAACCACTGAAACGCCACTGATTTTTAAGTTGAGCTCAAGTATATTTCTGTCACTACAAATTCTTTGTAAAACGACAGAGATTACACGATATTTAAGTACAACTTCAAATGGAATAGTTTTCCAGTATTCGGGCGTAAATTAGTTTTTAACCGAGTCGCATCTTCTGTAACTATTACTTAATCAGTTCAACTAGTGGTCAGAGCTGATGCCCGAGAGGCCTAACGGATTGCCGGGGCTCCGGCTCAAAGAGTAGGAGTAGGAACAGGGTGGTTTTTAGTCAGTACGAGTCTGACACTCCCTCTCGCCTAACCCAAAGCGGGAGAA